CTTTATTTATCATATACGAAATGTATTCTAAGGAGATTACATCAAATGTATTGGCTCTTAGGGCACATTTCTAACAATAACAAGATAGGTTTTGCAGAGAATTCAAATCTGCCAATTGAATTACTAACTTGGAGAGATTACTATATACAATTGTACCTAGCTAATTATTAGTTACAAACAATGCACAAAACATGGAGGGAAACATGGAGAGTTTCCATCCCTAAAACATGGAAATGAAAACAAGCAAATGTCTCTAGGTGGCAGACAAGCTTTTCCTTGTTTTAGGTAAGTTGTTTTCTATGTCTTGACTAACAGTTTCAACTGCTGCATCTTCTCCAGCTACTGAAACATGTCAAATCTGTTTCCAGTTTGGTCACACAGCTCCTAATTGCCCACATCGCACCAATTTCTCATATCAAGGCACGACTACATCCCCAGCACTTACAGCTCTTACTGCAACTGCTAGTAGCGTCTTTAGATGGAAGAGGTCACGGGTTCGATTCTTGTTTTCCACTTCTTTATTTGTTGGTTTATTGAGTGTAGAGTGGAGTTGCACCTATATGTTTGTCTCTCACCCCATCATTTACCATTGTTACCTACATAGCTTATATTTAGCAAGCAATGATGTTCTGGGGTGAATTCACAAGAATGTTATGTAATTCTCTAAGCTTCTTGCTAGCTCTCCTTGTCATTCTAGTATTGGATAAGTTTGAGCTGGCTTGGGTGTGTTGAGGAATTGCATGGGTGTCGGCTGAGCTTGAACAAGTTTTGGTGTGCTGAGTGCTTCCATGGGTGTTTGCATGCGCCGAACTTAAGACTTGTCACCAATGTGAGGAATGCACAAATTGATATATTTAATACAAGCCCAAACTGTGCACAAATTGATATATATTTAATAGAAGCCCAAGATTTCTGAAGCACATAATTTCTACTTTACAAACTTCCTGTGTCTACCAATTTCTACTAAAATTAATTTCTCTGCGGTGCTGAGATTCATCATAATTTTAGTAGAAATTGGAAGTTTTCATCATTTTTGCTTTAAGTCTCTCCTCCACTCACTAATAAAGATTACTCATGTGAGTTTACAAAACATTTTTTACTACTCTCTCCTGAAAACTACACTTCTCAAAAGATTAGATCACTTCACATCTTGTGTATATGAAAACTAATGTAAAAAGTGGAAACTTTGTCGTAAAACAAGCTCATATAGCATATGCAAACACAATTAGAAATTCTACAACAGAAGCAAGATCAATCTCACTATATATGCCTTCTAAACAAACAAACAAATCAAACAAGCATATTAATTGCTTTAATCACTCTACTAACATCAGCACAGCACACTTAGTTTACTAACAGATGATACAGAAAGGTAAAAAAAGGACCAATAGGGAGAAAATGGTGAACTAATTAAGGAGAGACTAATACTTCTGGTTCTTAGAAGGGATAACAGAAATAATAGAGCACACTGCTTGAACGCAAGTCAGTATTAGGAGCAAAACAGCTGCAATGACAGAAATAGTTGCCCAAGGTGTATTGAAATAATTTTGCCTCAAATTTGCCTTCCATTTGTGCCAAGGCTCTCTGCAGTAGCTATTGAGGCTCTCAGAAAGAGTAGCAAAGTGGTAGCCTTCACGATGCAAAACAACTCCTCTTCCGAGGTTGTTAATCAGAGTGCACACCTTATTGTCATCACCAAGCATATGTTCGACAATCCCATCCTTCAGAAGGTACTCCACATCCTTTTCGGTGTTCACGAAGTTATCCATGAGTGAAACATAATCGCTTATGTAATTGTTTTGGCAATGGCACTGTTCAAAGGCAATGAGGTTTCGGAGTGTGAGCTCCGTGTGATCGCTTATTTTTAGTTTTGGAATTACTAGAATCCCATCGTCGAATTTTATATCGAATAAGTTTCTGCTTGATGCCAACTTAAACTTGACCCCAGCCTGGTGTAGTTTTGTAATGCAGTGTGTAGTCATAAAATTTTTGCTTCGCCCTTCATTACTTTGATCTGTTTCCTCCAATTTTGTAAGATGTAAAGTTCTTATAAAATCAAGAAAATGTTCAACTTTAGGGTTACAACTACAAGAAGAAATTTTCTGCAAACTGTCTTCTGCCCCCTCTAAATCCAGTGCCTTTTTCAAGAATTTGTAAGAGAGTTTAATCATTGAAAGCTCCGAACTGTTACAAGAAACTGTAATTTTGTTAAGATCCTCAAGAATGAAAAATGGCAGTTGATTTTCAAGCAGTTGCAAGTCAGGCAATAGATCTAGAAGCATCCTTGGTTTGTTAAATATGCGGTCATTATTTTCCCATACTATATGACCACAAATTCTCAACAAGAGCTCAGTGATGAAGGCGGCATCCACTAGAATGATTCTTACAAATTGGTCACTGCTAAACTTAATGGTTTCTGGATAGCAACTTCTTAATTGTTTTTCTTTATCCTTTATTATCTTTATATATGCCTCCAAGCTTACAGCTGTCCGATGTTGAAAATCTTGTAGGTACCTTCTTTTGTGCTTTTCCATGGCTTTTAAGGCTTTCTTGCCATGGTGGAGTGGACCTATAGGCCCCGTTTGATAGGCTGATTTGGACTGGTTAGGATGGGCTTTGAAGCATTGGATTGAGCTAGCTTGGACTGGTTAGGTTTTGAATCCAATCTTGTTCATTTTTTGCACCAAACAACAGATTGAAATTAGCTTTTTTGTATTTAATAAATCAAGATTTTATTTTATTTTATTTATTAACAATAATTCCAACTTTTTGCCCCCAACAGAAGAAAAACCTCAAATTTCTGCAAAAAGCCTAGACCCAGATGAAAAATTAATCCTAATCAAACCAAGAGGATAACTCTCAAACCCAAAATCAAACTCATATACAAACTGAAAATTCGATAATATATTTTTCAAATTCAATAAAACACAAACTGAAAAACAACATTCACAGCACAAAAGAAGAAGAATGAATGATGCAAATTCTGGAATCCCAATACCAGATCTGAAAGATATTCAATGAAAAGTGAAATTAAACCCAAAAATAAAAACAAAATCACAGCACTCAACATCGTCAACACAAATTCAAAAAAAATATTAAGAGAGAGCCAAATAAACCATAACAAAGAATCTGTTTAAAAAAAAAAAAAACCAGAAGAGAAAGGACATGAGAGAAGAAGAGAGATGAGAGAAGAAGAGAGATGAGAGATGAGAGATGAGAGAGGAGAGAATATAGCAAAGACGACGCAGAGGAGAGAAGAGGGAGACGAAGAGAAGAGAAGACAAAAGCTCGTCAGTCTTCTAAACCCACCTCTCAGCGTGGGTTTTCAAATCCAGCATATGCTGGACTGGTATCCTATATAGCGGAAACCATTAAACCAGATTCAAATCAGACAATCACATCGAAAATCACATACGCAGAATCGATCAACCCTTTTAAACACAATCATATTTCGCGGCTGCGCCTGATGAGACCCCAGGCTGCCTACGTACCCTTGGACAAGGGATCAAGCCACACGTAGTTCTCATCTCAACGGTCACAGTTCCGAAAATAAACAATCATTCACAACATAACCAACTACACATTTCGGATCCATCACAATTTCAAATTCGACAAAAACACAATGAACACATTCTCAAACTCTTCCTTTGTATCAGTTCAAATTCGTAACCATACCCTATTCAAGGCGTATGTACATTAAACACATTATCCAATTATTCCCCTTTTAACAGTTCACTCCCGCAACCATACCCTATCCAAGGCGTATGGCGCCAAACAACACTGCCCAAATCCAGGGCTTATACGTTCATACATGTGCAGGCTCACAAATCTCAAACCAGAATCAAAACCACATATACATATATGTAATATGTATAACAAGAAAAGAATAATTATATATATACATAAACACACCCACCTCTCACCATCATCATGTACCAGGGGAAAACAATCCAACAGGGGATTGTTGACTAGCTCACAATTATCAGCCCTCAAACGGACTATGTGGCTAGGGACGAGCCGTCCAACTGGGGGACTAACTCTCAGCCAGCACGTACGGACGAAGAATCAAGACCCGTACGCCTGTAAACAGTCCTACGCGCGCAGACTACCCAATTAAGGGTTCCATCATATCCAAACCACATTCACAATTTTCATGTATCAGTATCCAAGGGGAGGTACATGTGATGTTGCACATCATGTACTGGGGAGAACAATCCAACAGGGGATTGTTGACTAGCTCACAATTATCAGCCCTCAAACGGACTATGTGGCTAGGGACGAGCCGTCCAACTGGGGGACTAACTCTCAGCCAGCACGTACGGACGAAGAATCAAGACCCGTACGCCTGTAAACAGTCCTACGCGCGCAGACTACCCAATTAAGGGTTCCATCATATCCAAACCATATCCACAATTTTTCCGGCATCCCAAAATTCCAGGATCCATGACCAATAAAGCCCACACGCCCAAAACCCGGCACGTGTGAATAGTATATCCAAAACAATAGTAACCAAACCATATCCATATATCCATTTCCATGTATCCCAGTGTCCATATCCACTGTTTCCAAAAAATCATAATCCAAGGGGGAGGTACGTATGATGGTGGAGTTCGTAATCCTTATATAAATATTATAAAGTAATATCTCCTTCCTTAATTCAATTTTCCCAAAACAAAATACATATTCATAGTAGACAAATAACTCTCAAACATAAAACCCATAACCGGGGAAGTACCTAAGATAGTGTTTTCTCAAATATTATATATATAAACTCCAAGACCCTCGAACATATCAAATCCACAAATATATCACAAATACTTTACAAAATAATAATCTCGACTATTAAATATAAAGTGCATTACAATAAACCATTTAATTCATTTGCATAACATTTCCATCTTAAAATCATGCCATTTATTTGAAAGCAATACCCATTCTTTTCCTAACAATCATAACCGAGTTCCAAGACTCACTTTCACAACTCTATGAATTGAGTATCCCATAATTATTCATTTCATAGTTTCAATTATCAAATATTATCCAAGAATCCCATAGGATATTATAAACAAGCTCATACTCCCAATATAACCCAAATAACTCAAATAACAATTAACACTCGTTCACAAGGTCATCCTAATACTTTTCGAAGTATGAAACTACCTCGGAAGACTCACGGTCAACCGAGAGTCAAACTTTCTAAATTTGGTCAACCGGGCCCGCGGGCCCCACGACCTCCATATTTCGATCCGAACATCCCTAAGGGTTCCACAAGGTTTAATAAACCTATCCTTCAAGTTTGGTCCGAATCCGACGGTCGGATCACTCACGATCGCACGATCAGACGATTATCGTAAAAATACAAACTTTAACTTATTGAATCGGAACATCCGGGGCTCCGATTCACGATCCGTGAAATCCTACACAATCCTAGGAATACCTAGATTAAAATAATAACAAGTAAAGAGAAAGGATTGAAATGCTCCCCCTTGAAGCGATTAGGTCGAGCGTGATGCATTCGGAGGTCGCGACTTCTCCCACTACTCCACACTTCCTATCTTTGAAGTTGCCATCTCTCTCCATTTTTATTGAGCTATTTACATTGCTAAAACAAACACACACAAAAACTTGAAACGGAATTAAAGGATTACGAAATATATAAAAAAAAACTAAAAATGAAAAGGAAAAATCAACACAAGTCCAATTCCATGCTTCAAAGCAACAAGCACCAATGGGTTGT